GCTCTCCCCGGACCTCGCATTCACTATATCCGCTCTCCCCGGACCCCGCATTCACTGTATCCGCTCTCTCCGGACCCCGCATTCACTGTATCCGCTCTCCCCGGACCCCGCATTCACTATATCCGCTCTCCCCGGACCCCGCATTCACTATATCCGGTCCGGTCTCCCCGGACCCCGCATTCACTATATCCGGTCTCCCCGGACCCCGCATTCACTATATCTGCTCTCCCCGGACCCCGCATTCACTATATCCGCTCTCCCCGGACCCCGCATTCACTATATCCGCTCTCCCCGGACCCCGCATTCACTATATCCGCTCTCCCCCCGGACCCCGCATTCACTATATCCTCTCTCCCCGGACCCCGCATTCACTATATCCGCTCTCCCCGGACCCTGCATTCACTATATCCGCTCTCCCCGGACCCTGCATTCACTATATCCGCTCTCCCCCGGACCCCGCATTCACTGTATCCGCTCTCTCCGGACCCTGCATTCACTGTATCCGCTCTCCCCGGACCCCGCATTCACTATATCCGGTCTCCCCAGACCCCGCATTCACTATATCTGGTCTCCCCGGACCCCGCATTCACTATATCTGCTCTCCCCGGACCCCGCATTCACTCTATCCGCTCTCCCTGGACCCTGCATTCACTGTATCTGCTCTCCCCGGACCCCGCATTCACTATATCTGGTCTCCCCAGACCCCGCATTCACTATATCCGCTCTCCTCGGACCCTGTATTCCCTCCATGGATCGGACTTCCTTTTCCAACATATCCAACAGATGCTGAATTGGACTGCTGAAAAAGGCCACTACACTTGTTTGTGTCAGTGGAAGGAATACTACCCCATTGTTGGTATCAGTGGAAGGAATAGTGCCCCATTGTTGGTGTCAGTGGGAGGAATAGTTGTAACGGAACCGGACTCCGACTGCACTTGGGTATTTCCATTAGCCTCCCGCTTCCCTGTCTGAACACAGATCCACGGACACCTCTCGAAGTAAAACCAGGAAATAGACTGCTTTATTTTAACACTGAGACAAGATATATACACAGGGCGGGGAAATACACACCCAGTAACAAGAAACACATCAGCAGACAGTCCCATCAGGGGGAAGGGCTGCCAGAAACAGCCCCCACTAAGCCAATACACAAACACATACATCCCATAATAGTTTGCTCCCAAGCAAGACACACAATAGAACAATGGGAAAAAAAAACCACATGGCATTAGGCAATGACCAAACCCCACCTATACATGTCTACACAATATCAGGACATCTAACCCTGCACCCCTAACAGGTACAGGGTGACTTACACATAAGAGGGATATGGGGAGCTGAGACAGGGGTCTCCCCACCCCTCCAAAGGGGGCTGTGTTCCATGGACCCCCCACCCAAAGTGACTCTCGTCACAATAGTGCCCCATTGTTGGTGTCAGTGGGAGGAATAGTGCCCCATTTTGGTGTCAGTGGAAGGAATAGTGTCCCATTGATGGTATCAGTGGGAGGAATAGTGCCACATTGTTGGTGTCAGTGGAAGGAATAGTGCCCCATTGTTGGTATCAGTGGGAGGAATAGAGCCCCATTGTTGGTATCAGTGGGAGGAATAGTGCACCATTGTTGGTGTCAGTGGAAGGAATACTACCCCATTGTTGGTGTCAGTGGAAGGAATACTACCCCATTGTTGGTGTCAGTGGGAGGAATTAGTGCCCCATTGTTGGTGTCAGTGGAAGGAATACTACCCTATCATTGGTGTCAGTGGAAGGAATAGCGCCCCATCATTGGTGTCAGTGGAAGGAATAGCGCCCCGTCATTGGTGTCAGTGGGAGGAATAGCGCCCCATCATTGGTGTCAGTGGAAGGAATAGCGCCCCATCATTGATGTCAGTGGGAGGAATAGTGCCCCATCATTGGTGTCAGTGGAAGGAATAGTGCCCCATCATTGGTGTCAGTGGGAGGAATAGTGCCCCATCATTGGTGTCAGTGAGAGGAATAGTGCCCCATCATTGGTATCAGTGGTGAGGAATAGTGCCCCCATCATTGGTGTCAGTGGAAGGAATAGTGCCCCATCATTGGTGTCAGTGGAAGGAAAAGCGCCCCCATCATTGGTGTCAGTGGAAGGAATAGCGCCCCATCATTGGTGTCAGTGGAAGGAATAGCGCCCCATCATTGGTGTCAGTGGAAGGAATAGCGCCCCATCATTGGTGTCAGTGGAAGGAATAGCGCCCCATCATTGGTGTCAGTGGAAGGAATGGAAGGAATAGCGCCCCATCATTGGTGTCAGTGGAAGGAATAGCGCCCCATCATTGGTGTCAGTGGAAGGAATAGCGCCCCATTGCATCTACAGACTGATTGTACTGTCGCGGGTTTAGTAACACTCTAAGCCCATCTATTCGCCATCAGACTGTGGCAGAACAGTGTTTAAGAAGCATGGCACCTTGCCTGCACAGGTACCACCGGCTCTCACCCGTCCCGCTTATTCACAAAGTGCATTTGCATGTAGACCAGCATCACGCCTGACGAACGTTTACACACGCATTCCACAGCTCCAAAAGCAGGAACGTCTTGCACCTGTTTCCCCGCCGCACGCCCGCCCACGCTGGAACACGACTTCACATCTTGCTGCGTTGCACAAAGGCTTATTGATGTGTGCAGTAATTATAGAGTGCGTGACGATTGTTAATAGCTGGGGCACAGCGCACTCTCCGCTGACACAGCAGGGGTTAAATATGCATTCCACCGAGACAGAGCAGGGGGCAAAAATGTAATTCTTTACTTCAAGACAATCAATCAAAATTGACAGTGACTTTAACAACAATTTGTGGCGCGCAGGGGACGTGGAAAGGGAGCAGCCTGCTCTGTGTGAGCCCAAGACCTGTGAGCGTGTTTATATTCATAGTAATCATCTTTATTTGTCATGTTTGCATTGACAGGCAGAACATGTTGTGGAATTAGAGAGCTGAACGGAACTCCTAAGTCCCGAAACTCTTGCTGCTGCCTTACCATGTGACCGAAAACCTTGGTTGCTTCTGCTGGTTTGTATGGCTGGGATCAGTAGTGAATCCAGAAAATCCTAATATCTTTATAGCAAAGCTAGAGGGCAGGGGTCTCCGAACTATAGCCCTCTAGCAGTTGAAGTACTACAAGTCCCATCATGCCTCTGCCTCTGAGAGTCTTGCTTGTGGCTGGCAGAGTCTTGCAAGGCCTCATGGTACTTGCAGTTTCTTAACACCTGGAGGGCCATAGTTTGGAGACCACTGCTATAGGGGGAGAGAATTTACAAACATGGGAGCACCCAGAACCTGGTCTCCAAACTATGGCCCTTCAGCAGTTGAAGTACTACAAGTCCCATCATGCCTCTGCCTCTGAGAGTCTTGCCTTGTGGCTGGCAGAGTCTTGCAAGGCCTCATGGTACTTGCAGTTTCTTAACACCTGGAGGGCCATAGTTTGGAGACCACTGCTATAGGGGGAGATTTACAAACATGGGAGCACCCAGAACCTGGTCTCCAAACTATGGCCCTCAGCAGTTGAAGTACTACAAGTCCCATCATGCCTCTGCCTCTGGGAGTCTTGCTTGTGGCTTTCAGAGTCTTGCAAGGCCTCATGGTACTTGCAGTTTCTTAACACCTGGAGGGCCATAGTTTAGAGACCCCTGCTATAGGGGGAGATTTACAAACATGGGAGCATCCAGAACCTGGTCTCCAAGCTATGGCCCTTCAGCAGTTGAAGTACTACAAGTCCCATCATGCCTCTGCCTCTGAGAGTGTTGCCTATGGCTGTCAGCGTCTTGCAGGACTTCATGGGACTTGCAGTTTCTTAACACCTGGAGGGCCATAATTTGGAGACCCCATATTTGGGGGGAGATTTACAAAAATGGGAGCACCCAGAACCTGGTCTCCAAACTATGGCCCTCTAGCAGTTGAAGTACTACAAGTCCCATCATGCCTCTGGGAGTCTTGCCTATGGCCGTCAGAGTCTTGGAGTTGCCTCATGGGACTTGCAGTTTCTTAACACCTGGAGGGCCATAGTTTGGAGACCACTGCTATAGGGGGAGATTTACAAAAATGGGAGCACCCAGAACCTGGTCTCCAAACTATGGCCCTCCAGCTTTTGAAGTACTACAAGCCCCATCATGCCTCTGTCTATGGGAGTCTTGCCTGTGGCTGTCAGAGTCTTGCAAGGCCTCATGGGACTTGCAGTTCCTCAACACCTGGAGGGCCATAGTTTTGGAGACCCCGTCTACGTGATTCAGAATTCACTGCAGTGTAATGGTCCTAAAGCCTCATACACTCTGGGCATTTAGCCTCTATGCCTGAGGAACACGCCCTTCCACGTGCCCCTGGGGGGGCACACCCAGAGATCTCAATGATCGCTGTGTCCTAAGGACACAGCTGATCACGTGCTGTGGTAAAAGGCCAATCACAACGGCCTTTTACCACATGATCAGCCAGTTCCAATGACACAGCAGATCACCGGTAAATGCAATTGCTGGTTATCGGCTGCACTTTCCTCACGTTCTCACAGGACGGATCAGCTCTGATCATCAGGGGACTGATGATCAGTGCCCCGATGATTGGGGCCCACCAGTGCCCATCAGTGCTGCCCACCAGTGCCCATCAATGCCACCCATGTGTGCCCAGCAGTCCCACCCACCTGTGCCGCACATCAGTGCCGTCAGTCAGTGCCAACTATCAGTGCCCATCATTGTTGCATATCAGTGCCAGCTCATCAATGCCACCTATCAGTGCCTGTCAGTGCTGCCTATCTGTGCAGCCTCATCAACGCACATCAGTGAAGGAGAAAAATTACCTGTTTGCAAATATTTATAATAGAAACAAAGAAAAACATTTTTTTTTTCAAAATTTTTGCTCTTTTTTTGTTTATAGCGCAAAAAATGAAACACCCAGCGGCGAGTACATACCAGCAAAAGAAAGCTCTATTTGTGTGAAAAAAATGATAAAAATTTCATATGGGTACAGTGTTGCATGACCGTGCAATTGTCACTCAAAGTGCGACAGCGCTGAAAGCTGAAAATTGGCCTGGGCAGGAAGGGGTGACAGTGCGCGGTAGGCGAGGGGTTAACAGTGGTATCATACCCATTGAAAAGGCTGGGAAGGTTCTTATTTTTGCAGTAGTTGAATGTGACTCCGTATTCCTATATAACAAAGGATACCAGTCATTCCCGGGGTGACATATTGTATTGCAAAAGTGCTTCATGGTTAGCACTTATACCTTGCAAACCTAGGGTCCTCAGTTTGAATCCCAGCTGGGGACGCTATCTGCATGGAGTTTGTATTTTCTCCCTTTTGCCTGCATGGGTTTCCTACATGTACTCTGGTTTCAGCCCACACTCCTAGGACTTGCTGTTAGGTTAACTGGCTCCTGTAGAAACTGACCCTAATATGCTTGTGTATGCTGGTGAGATTGGGACCTTAGAATGGAAGGTCCTTAACCACTTCCAGTCTGGACACTTTCACCCCCTTCCAGTCCGGACACTTTCACCCCCTTCCAGTCCAGACATTTTGCCCCCCCTTCCAGTCCGGACACTTTCCCCCCCCCTTTCCAGTCCGGACACTTTCCCCCCCCCCCCTTCCAGTCCGGACACTTTCCCCCCCTTCCTGTCCGGACACTTTCCCCCCCTTCCTGTCCGGACACTTTCACACCCCCTTCCTGTCCGGACACTTTCACCCCCCTTCCAGTCCGGACACTTTCACCCCCCTTCAAGTCCAGACACTTTCCCCCCCTTCCAGTCCGGACACTTTCCCCCCCATCCCAGTCCGGACACTTTCACCCCCTTCCAGTCCGTACACTTTCACCCCCTTCCTGTCCGGACACTTTCACCCCCTTCCAGTCCGGACACTTTCCCCCCCTTCCAGTCCGGACACTTTCCCCCCCCTTCCAGTCCAGACACTTTCCCCCCCGTTCCAGTCCGGACACTTTTCCCCCCCCGTTCCAGTCCGGACACTTTCCCCCCCCCTTCCAGTCCGGACACTTTCCCCCCCGTTCCAGTCCGGACACTTTCCCCCCCTTCCAGTCCGGACACTTTCCCCCCCTTCCAGTCCGGGACACTTTCCCCCCCTTCCAGTCCGGACACTTTCCCCCCCTTCCAGTCCGGACACTTCCCCCCCTTCCAGTCCGGACACTTTCACCCCCCCCCTTCCAGTCCGGACACTTTCACCCCCCTTCCAGTCCGGACACTTTCCCCCCCCTTCCTTCCAGACACTTCCCCCCCTTGAAGTCCGGACACTTTCCCCCCCTTCCAGTCCGGACACTTTCCCCCCCCCTTCCAGTCCGGACACTTTCCCCCCCCTTCCCGTCCGGACACGCCCCCCCCCCTCCAGTCCGGACACTTTCACCCCCTTCCAGTCCGGACACTTTCCCCCCCCTTGAAGTCCGGACACTTCCCCCCCTTCCAGTCCAGACACTTTCACCCCCTTCCAGTCCGGACACTTTCCCCCCCTTCCAGTCCGGACACTTCCCCCCCCTTCCCGTCCGGACACTTTCCCCCCCTTCCAGTCCGGACACTTTCACCCCCTTCCAGTCCAGACACTTTCCCCCCCTTGAAGTCCGGACACTTTCCCCCCCTTCCAGTCCGGACACTTTCCCCCCCTTCCAGTCCGGACACTTTCACCCCCCTTCCCGTCCGGACACTTTCCCCCCCTTCCAGTCCGGACACTTTCACCCCCTTCCAGTCCAGACACTTTCCCCCCCTTGAAGTCCGGACACTTCCCCCCCCCTTCCAGTCCAGACACTTTCACCCCCTTCCCGTCCGGACACTTCCCCCCCTTTCAGTCCGGACACTTTCCCCCCCTTCAGTCCGGACACTTTCACCCCCCCATCCAGTCCGGACACTTTCACCCCCATCCAGTCCGGACACTTTCCCCCCCGTTCCAGTCCGGACACTTTCCCCCCCCCCCTTCCAGTCCGGACACTTTCCCCCCCCCCCCCATTCCAGTCCGGACACTTTCCCCCCCCGTTCCAGTCCGGACACTTTCACCCCCTTCCCGTCCGGACACTTTCCCCCCCCCCCCCTTCCAGTCCAGACACTTTCCCCCCCCGTCCAGTCCGGACACTTTCCCCCCTTTCCAGTCCGGACACTTTCCCCTCTTTCCAGTCCGGACACTTTCCCCCCCTTCCTGTCCGGACACTTTTACCCCCATCCAGTCGGGACACTTTCCCCCCGTTCCAGTCCGGACACTTCCCCCCCCCCTTCCAGTCCGGACACTTTCTCCCCCATTCCAGTCCGGACACTTTCCCCCCATTCCAGTCCGGACACTTTCCCCCCCCTTCCAGTCCGGACACTTTCCCCCCCTTCCAGTCCGGACACTTTCACCCCCTTCCAGTCCGGACACTTTCCCCCCCTTCCAGTCCGGACACTTTCCCCCCCTTCCAGTCCGGACACTTTCCCCCCCTTCCAGTCCGGACACTTTCACCCCCTTCCAGTCCGGACACTTTCACCCCCTTCCAGTCCGGACACTTTCACCCCCTTCCAGTCCGGACACTTTCACCCCCTTCCAGTCCGGACACTTTCACCCCCTTCCCCCACTTTCACCAGTCCATTCCGGACACTTTCACCCCCATCCAGTCTGGACACTTTCCCCCCCCCCTTCCAGTCCGGACACTTTCACCCCCATCCAGTCTGGACACTTTCACCCCCTTCCAGTCCGGACACTTCCCCCCCCCTTCCACTCTGGACACTTCCCCCCCCCCCCCCCCTCCTTCCAGTCTGGACACTTTCACCCTGTTCTAGTCCGGATACTTTCCCCCCGATTCACTCCGGACACTTTCCCCCCCTTCCAGTCCAGACACTTTGACCCCCATCCAGTCCGGACACTTTCCTCCCCTTCCCGTCCGGACGCTTTTCTCCCCCCCCCCCTTCCCGTCCGGACGCTTTCCCCCCCCCCTTCCAGTCCAGGCCAATTTTCAGCTTTCAGCGCTATCACACTTTGAATAACAATTGCGCGGTCATGCAACACTGTACTCATATGAATTTTTTAGCATTTTTTTGAGACAGATAACACTTTATTTTGGTGGTATTTATTCACCACTGGGATTTTTATTTTTTTTTTTGCTATCTGAATGAAAAAGTCCAAAAATGTGGAAAAAAAAAGTGTTTTTCTTATAAAAAGTTTGCAAATAAATAATATTTCTTCATAAATCTTGGCCAAAATGTATTCCGTTATCTTTTTAGTAAAAAAAAAAAAATAACCCAAATTAGTTTATAACCAAAAATTATAATTTTTCAAAAACATTTTTATTTTATTTTTTTTATTATTATTATATATATATTTTTTTTTAACATACTGTCACCCTAGCAGTACAGTGTCACCATGGTGACACTGTACTACTTGTGGGGGGTGATGAAGATTTTTTTTTTTTTTTACACTGATTGCTTTTATACCCATAAAGGCTGTAAAAGCAATCATTTCTCCTTCTCTCTGGCTGCATTCCTGCAGCCATTAAGAACTACTGAGTGAGCTGTGATTGGTCACAGCTTGTCACATGGTACAAAGCTGTTGTGAATAGCCCTGTACCATGTGACCTCTGTGATCATTCACAGATTTCACACATAGTAAGCAATGATGTCAGAAGTGACATCTTGCTTACTACTATTCATGTGATCACTGATTGGCCAATCAGTGATCACATGATCGGGACCTCACACAGAGGTCCCATACAGCGATCAGTGTTCCGCTGTGTCCTCCAGACACAGCGGGCACCGGATTGCTGTTCCATGCGCTCCCAGGGAGCATGCACACGCTAAAATGACAGGTGCCATTTATGAATGGCAACCCGCCCTGCACTGCTCCCGTTCAGCCGTTTATATACATGGGCCGGTCAGGAAGTGGTTAAAGTGGACCTTCACCCTAAAAGACAATGTGTGTGCACCTGACTCCAGCCCCTCCCTCTCCCAAAATTGAGTAAATATATAATTCTGTATGTGTATGTATTTGTGTGTGTGCACTCATTACATCTCGAGGAAAATACATTTAATCACCAAACACGGAAAGGTTTCTTCACAGTAAGAGCTGTGAGAATGTGGAATAGACTCCCTCCAGAGTTGGCCAGCTCAGTGAATTGCTGTAGGAAAGTCCTGGATTGTTTCTTGGATACACAGAATATAACTGGATATAACATTTATAGGTGACGTTGATCCAGGGAATATCTGATTGCCTCTCGGGGGATCAGGAAGGAATTGTTTCCCCTGCAGGAGCACATTGGATTGTGCTTTGCTGGGTTTTTTGCCTTCCTCTGGATCAACTGTGGGTGTAGGATTATAACTTTTTTTTTTTTTTTATGGTTGAACTGGATGGACTTTTGTCTTTTTTCAGCCAGACTAACTATGTGACTATGTATTTATACAACGGGTAACATAAGTATTGAACACGTCACCAATTTTCACAGTAAATACATTCCTAAAGGTGTTATTGATATGAAATGTTCTCCACACGTCGGTAACAACCCACGCAAGCCGTCATACAAAGAAAGCAAAACAAATTTAAGTTCAGAACTGAAATTGGTTCTAAAGGGTTATTTTTTTTACAGAAAAAATAACAAACATGTCCATACTTACCAGCCAGTGTCAGTGGTTTTCCACAGATCAGCCCAGATCCTCCTCTTCTCGGGTCCCCTGCAGGCTCTCCTGGCCCCTCCCTCCTGTTGGATGCAAGTAGCTTGCTATGGGGGCACCCACTGCTCCGTTTGTCCATTCACACACGGAGCCACGGCTCAGCCCCGCCCCTTCTCTCTTCCCATTAGCTCACTGGCTGTGATTGACAGCAGTGGGAGCTAATGGTTCCTGCTTTTGTCTCAGCCAATGAGAAAAGGGAGTCCCAGGATAGCTGAGACTCCAGTGCACATCGCAGGATCAAGAGGGGGCTTAGGTGAGTGTTAAGGGGGGTTGGGGTGATGCTGCACACAGAAGGTTTTTTACCTTCATGCATAGAAAGCATAAAGGTAAAAAAAAACCTTGAGCCTTTTGAACCACTTTAAGTTGTGTAATAGAATGGAATGACACAGGGAAAAAGTATTGAACACAAAGAAAGGGAGGTGCAAAAAGGCATGG